GTTGACTGCCTAAGTAGTTTGGGAGAAACTATAATAGTTCACGCAACAACTAATAGACGTTTCTTTCTTCATAATTCAAACATTGATAAACACCCTCTGCTATATCTCCTGCGTCTTAAACTAATCGAGATGCTTCGTCCGCCACAGCTGACATCAAGCGGTTCCCCCAGAACAATCCGTGAAGTTTCCTTCGTGTCGTTGCGGGAAGATGCTCTCAGCCATTCAGTGACTCCTAGATTGTCTTCTAAAGTTCACTCAACATGGTGTCACTACTTCTCCTTCCTACTAGCTCTGATAATTATTTCCTTGAGTTCTATGTATTTGCTAATTCTTGTTAAAACACATTTATAACGCAATTTCTCAGACTGACGGGTAAGTTTTTAATAATTTTTGAAAGAAATAATGATTGTCCAAATTCGTACTTGCGTAGACTTCATAATCATGGAATTGAACTCCACGACCTTTCTTATTTCCCATAAAATTTCTTGCGATAGATGCGCTATTTCTCAGATGTTATAAACTATGAATACATCAGAGCATTTCCTATTTGCTAAAGTCTAGAGAGGATTTCACAAACTGACGTTTCCAAAGGCGTTTTGATCCAGGGAGATTAACAAAGCATTTGCAGGCTCGTGATATAAGCTCCTTGGTGGACGGAGATGAACCTTCCAGAGTTATCAGTGTCCAAATGCTCTTGGTTACCATGCAATGGCTGACAAGTAATCAAAGGTACGAGAGTAGATACTCTGACAAAATTAACAAAGAGGTTTACAGAGCATTCCATCAAGATATGATAAGTCAGACTGTTCTGGAACGGCTAATCCGTCAACATTGCCGCAAAGTAAATCCCACAATGCAAATCTTAAAATAACTCTGCATTTAGGTCGAACTTTCACACCTTCCTGACATGTATGACAGCAAGACCGTCATACCCAGAACTGCCAAACTCTACTCCAAACAAGATTATTCTGATAAATTCATATTGATCTTGGAAGGAAGAGCGATGGTCACCATCGGACAGGTTAGCATTTTGCAATCCTTCTTAAGTATGTGAAGTTTTCCAGGATGCTATGACATTTGAAGCTGGTCCTTGGCATGCGTTTGGTACTGACATGTTAGAGAAACTTGTGGAACAAAGTGAACAAGATGCCGCTAGAGAGAAAGAGAATGTTTCCTCCAGAAACTCTTTGAATGCTGCTGGAGATATCACTAAAGTATTCAATGATCACACATCACATTTTTGAAAATTATCTTCCAGGCTGGAAAGGTTGGATTCATGCCCGATTTCTCTGTAGTCGTCCGAGACGAATGTACTTTCTTGGAAATAACAGCTCAGAGCTGGCTCTTGGCTTACCGTAGTACTCTCATGAGTCGTGGAGGACACAGGTGTGTATTTTAAAGATTTGAAAAACCCCAAACTTGCGTGTTAATTTGAAAATAAGTCTCGAAATCTCATAAGATTTAACGACTGTATTTTGTGCATGTTTTCTGTGTGTTGTTCAGCAAATGGATAGTTTTCAATGACGCATCGAGAAACGGGTTCCATCGAAGTTACACGGATGGACATGCTCTTTGTAAGAGAGTAGTGTACACGTTTACCGAAAAGGAAGCTGATGATGAATGCTCATAGAAAGTTCTCATCTCTCTTTTATTAATTTTTTGGGTTGTATTAATTTTTTATGTTGTTCTCAGATATTCAAGATATAGAATCTCATAATAGCTTTACCTCAATTGCCATAGCGCTTCAGGGTTTACTCGGGTTGTTGTTTTTGTTGGACTGTGAAATGTATTTTTTAACCTCGTTAAATTTTGAACGTCAGTATACCATGTGTTAACCTAATTGCGATTTCATCAATTGCCTCAAACATTCTTTTTTTGTCTTTCTAATTTATCTTCAGGCCTTCTACTATCACCAGTGATACTAACATAGGAGAACGGACAATGTCACGCGGAAGCTTAAATGAAACGAAAAACTCGCTGGTTTCGCCTAAGGTCAGTTCTGAACTTTTGTTTTTTTTGCTCTTGAAGACGTGCGAATAATCCGAGTGTTTTTCCTAATACGGTGCATTCTCTTCAGCAACTCAATACGCGTCTTCATATTCGGCGCGGTACCACTTGGTTGTAGGTTAATACTAGTAGAAATATACTTCTGAAGTCACTGATGTGTTTTCGTCATAGTTTCATTAGCGATTTTGATGTTACCTTTATGAATGATCAATCTGCATCTTGAGCGCTGCTGATATTTGCCTCATAGTTCTGGGTGCTTGTTTCGTAAAAGAATCTGTGATTGCTTGTGACAGTCGTTCGTCTTCTCGTGTAACTTGTCATGACTTATATAACTCGTTGCTCTTTCAGGTGAACATACACTATAGAAACTGTAAGAATAGATCGTGTAGTGAATCGGAACATCTAGAACTTCTTCCTCAAACTAATGGAAATCTAACCGGCTCTCCATTATCAGATCGCTCAGTAGCTTCGCACGTTTAAGCATTAAATAAGATAATAATATATATCAGGTAACAATCATCAATGTAATCGTGTCTTAACTTCGTTAGCTCAAAAGTTACATCTTTATTCTGCTTTTATTTACATTTTGTTGTGAATATCGCAATAGGTTTCAAATATGATTTTGATGTGTCTTCCCTCGCCTTATTTGACATTGAGAAAGCTAATAATATATTGTACTGCCTTTATTGATATCGTTTGTAACTTTACTTATCCCAAGTATTCTGTGCCATTCCTTATCTCCCTTCATTTCTTTGCAATTAAGGCTCATTCCCATATTTGGATTGATATCACTTTATAACTTTCCTCGAGCTCAGCTTTTAACCATCTAGTCAAATTAACAGAAGTTTTAATCCTAGTTTCATCTAGTTACATTGTTATAGCATTCACCATCTTGCTACTGTCAATAGTTTATTCGGTTTTTATTAATTGGAAAAAGATATACATTTATTCATTTGAAGATTTTCTGTTGTTGAAAGCACATTTGTTTCAACTTTTACATCTTGAGAAGCATCCGCCATTCTGCTTTTGTCTGGGCGAAAGTATGACAGCACTCGAGCGAATTTCCACGTCCTCGACTGCCATCAGTTCTCTGAACGAAAACGAAGTTCTAAGATATATCAAATGCACTTTGATACCGAGCTAATGTCAGCACTGCTGGCTCAATGTTATTTCCATTCAGGGCACTAGCTTCTATGAACAGTATTCCCATTGTCTTAAATGCTGAGAATGTACGGAACGAAGTTTGAATAAGTTCAAAGGCTTTTGAGAAATTCATCAAACATACTGCAGCCATGGCAGCTCCGTCACTTGTAGGCACTCCATCCACTCCGGATACTCCCCTTAGATCAGTTTTATTGCCAACAAGTATGACAGGGATTGAACGTTCAACTGATTCCTACAACAGATATGAGTTATCATTCCTCAAAACTTCGAGGTTGAAAGACGAGTTGTGACTTATAAATCATAGCCGACAGGACTTTGAGAGAAAAGCGAGAGAAAGCTTGTACAAGATTTGATAAATGTTGTTGGGGAGTGGTCGTGAACTTATTTATCAAAGCGAGAACAGTAGTGTATGATCAATGGATCAAGAGCTCATCAATAGTTAAAAGATGACTGTCATTGTAAGAAAACAAATGAATAAAAAAGAGTTTTTTTTAGTTTTCTCCGTAAACGTGAAAGCTGTTGAAATCCATACTTGAGAGATAGAAGAGACAAGATTGTCAATTTTCTTTGACAAGCTTGAAGGAAGGCTTTGGAAAGGGAGATGAAACCGAAAAAAAGGCTGCAAAAACTTTGGCAAACAAACGAGAAACACAAAGGCTTGTAAATTATTACGAATATGCGCTACTTCCCAAGAAAACTAATAGTGCTCCTACTTGTTTTCGATGACGTTATAGAATTAAAAGTAGAAGTGAAAGACTTATGAAAGAAAGCTTTTGCATGGATGGTTTGCAGAGAGTCGTCAGAAATGTAAGGAGAGTGTTGTTCTTGGAGAGCTTCATTAAAAAAAAATAAACCTTGATTGTATCGATCCAATCACGAACTCTCAGAAATGTCTGTTCAGCAGTTACATCGTAGACTAAAATTGCTCCGTCAGCTCTACGAAAATATGATTTGCAGAGGGATCGAAATCTATAACACAGAGACAGACATCATTTTAGTTTTGAGGGAGAGATGTGCAAACCGTTCCTGTCCAGCAGTATCCCACACTTGTAATGCAACGTTGCGTCCATCAATATTTATCGTTTTTACATGGAAATCAACTCCTTCAGTTATTCTTTTTAATACGATATTGCAAATTCAATTATATACCTAATGTACTTGGTAACTGATTAGTATATTGCCCTTTTATTAATCTCATAACTATACTGCTCTTTCCGACAGCAGCATCACCACACATAACAACACGAAATGTCCTTTCAGCTGGACCGTTAGATTCATTAATTCCCTAGAATATATTATTTCATAATTAAAACGAATGAGTGAGGCATATAACTGACAAGCAATGACTCTATATCCCCTTTTGGCTTTTCATCCTGCATATCTGAGTCCATTGTCATTTGTAGACCAATATCATCTTCTACATTATTATAATATTGCGGGACCATCAACTGAGGCGTTGATAACCGTTCAGATAATATGGGAGTGTGCATGGGCGAAAATGAGCTATCACGATGCATTGAAAATACGGAAGGAGATGGTGTTCTCTGAAACTCATGACGTTAGGTTGACGTAGAATTATTTCACGTGCGTGATGCAAAGAAATTTCACGTGCGTGACGTGAAATCATTGTGAGCTTCTGAACGCAAATGAACGGTTGTGTTGCTTAATGCTAATGATCAATAGACCGGTTGCATTCTTAACTTCAATTAAGAATTCTTATTGGGAATATAAGAAGCTTCATCATGCCGAAACTATTTTTAAGTTCTTTGCTAAGAGTTTATATATATTTTGATGGAAAATATCGAGAGAAACAGAATTTGTTGGAAGCACTTATGTTGTTGTGATGACTTTTTTATATTTTGTCGAGCAAATTGTGTTTTGATTGGTCGAAGACCATTGAATGAGGGAGCTCATATAGATTTGATAACAATGATTGATGACTAACGAGCAAAACGTACCAGATTGAACTGCCGTAACACAGATGCCCGATTGTCGAGGGCCTCACGGAGACTTTCATTTGTCTCATGAAGTTTCTTGTTAGCTTCGCTATTAAAGAATGATCACGAATCACAGACTTCAATTGAACTTACAACATGAGTTGAAGCTGCTTATGTGCTCCTTCTGCTTCTTCGGCCACATTGAACCTCTCATCTTAAAAGGAATGTTTTCCGTGTTCATTCGCACCAAAAAACCTTGATGTCTCTGCAACTCGTTCGCACTTTGCTCATAGTCAGAGCGAACATGCGCTAGTTCACTCTTGATCATGGCAAGTTCCAGATGATTTTCAGCCATGCTTTTTCTTAGCTCAAAGTTTTCTGTGCTGACTTGCTGGAATATCCGACTGTGGAGGTATTGGTCAACTCAGACTACCTTCAGTTTTTCTTGCAGCTCCTTCTGGTGACTCAACTTTTCCCCTTCTCTCTCTAACACTTTTTCCATTTTCTGTAACCGTTCAATATTGTGTCTCATCTCGTCCATTTCTGACTCCAATCGATCCTTCATTTCTTCTTTTTCCTTTGTTAGTTTTTGCCTCTCCTTCAAGAAAACTATGCTTGTCAATTGTTTCCCACAGAACTACCTCATCTCTGGCTTTCCTCGCTGCTATAGCCAGCTGATGGTCTATCTCCGTTTCCACTTCTTCCATTCGCCTGTTATACATCTCTCTCTCACTATAAGAAACAATAAAATGGTTTCATGAGGTTTTCTAGCGATTACTTTTCATAAACATATTGTAAACGAGCATTCTCTGATGTTTTCTCTTTGAACTCTTTGTAGAACGAGCTTACAACCTGAATTCATCCAGAGTTCTTGGAAGACACTCATCAAACAAACCTTCTCAAATTTCTTAAGCATTTGAGGCATTCCTGAGTTCTGCAGTTGTTCATAGAGGACAATTACTTCTTCTTGACTGGAAACACCTATGGTTATAACTAGTAGGATGAATAAGCAAACCATGGTAATGCAAAATCTAAGGATAGAGCCGTGTCAGTTTCTGAATGATAGACGTCATCATCCAAGGCTCTAAATGCTTTTGATCTAGATGGCTGAAAAACTTTTTTGCTTCACAACGATACTGTTACCACCTCAGCATCAGAGTCAAAGATTTCTTCTTGTGCTCTACGGTACCGAACATCGGACTCCAACACACTTGCCCGTCTATGCATTCCATCCAATCCTTTAAAGAATGGCAGTCAACTTTAAATATTCAGTTTTACCTTCGCTTTCTCCTTTCATGACGGCATCCTCAAAACCAATAATGAACTCTGACTTCTCGATGGTTCCCGATCCATCTTTATCCAACTGGGAAAAAATAAACGTTATATCCTTAAACGATGAAAACATCATAACACAGAATCAAACATCTGCAAAGAACTTCAGAGCTAAGCTGGGGACATATCTGAGCAAGATCTTCAACAGTCAGAAAGCCTTTATTGGCAGAATCACACTTCAAGAACAGTTTTTCAACCTCACTGCTGGCCAACATTACTGAAATATGGAAATCAAGTTTACCATACTGCAAGCGAGGCAAATTATTAGTGAAACAGGGACATACACATTACATATTAACTACAAATGAATTAATTCTATTGACACAAATCTTTTTTTTGTTCTGACCAATCAAAAGAGAGATGAAGTTTGAAAACTACACAAGGACGGATTACAAAGTGGATTGAATCGATTGTTATGAATTGAAATCATATAGAATAGAATAGGGACATACAACTGTTTATGGATATTCTGTATGTTTTATTTACTTTATTTATTTTTTTTTGAATTTGCAAGATAACAAAACGGAATTGCATTTCGATTACTGAAGCTCAGCATCTAGCTAGATGATGAGCTGCAAACTGTTTGAGAGCAATTTGAATGAATACACCTCCTTCATCAAGCAACAGTCGAATAGAAAACAAAAGAAAACAGTTTTGGCTTTAAAAAATTATTTATTATATTTGAATGTAATATGGTTAGTGGATAGGAAAGCGATGAAACAATATCCAAGAGTGATCAAATGAAAATGCATTTGTTGAATTAGCTGTTCCATCCATGTCGTTGGTGAGTTCTATAAGCGGACAAAAGAAAAACAAATGAAACATTAATATCCTATGAAGGATAATGGTTTCTTCTTAAAATTCTAATTTTGACAAAAAAAAAATAAAATAAAATAGAAAGTTCTATGTTGTGTGCCCTCATTATTCGTATTTGCAACTTGTCCCCAACATGATACTCATTAAGACAGGAAGCGGAAGTCTTATTTACGTAACCGATTTCTTATTATTATTATTTTTCTTTTCCTTTATGTACTGTATCTATTGCTTATCGTGTCAAGAGCTAACTCTTTACTCACCTCATCATTTCTATTGTAGCTGTAGAGAACAAAGACAGATTTGCCGCTTCATAAAAGGTAATGATGATTGTTTATAGGTAGGGGGTCGTTAGGAAGAACCACACGAACAGCCGGACCAGGTGATGACGCAATCCAATCAAATATACCACTTGCTAGCCAATTTTTGATATTCCTTTGCTTGACTCTCTTTCTATTCATAACATTTGCTCATCTATAACCTTTTATTATCCATTTATAGATATTTCATAAAGCACCTATCTACCGATAAAGGAAAAGACAGACAGACAGATAGATGAGCACAATTACTATTCAATTTACTCATTTTATGCTAACTTCCTTTGAACTGTAGCCGACCTTCGACGATTGAATGCTTCATCAACAGGTCAGATGGTACCAACTGACAGCATTTCAACTCCCTAATTGTCTTTGTTAATAAAAAAATAGTTATTATCACATTTAGTTTTCATGAGAATAAGATTTAAGAAGACAAGCCCTACTTTCCACGTAAGGACGTGATTTACGTGGAGACGTTAACATGAAACTTCATTTAGAAGCTGCAGGCGCAGAGAACGGTTGTGCTCCGAGTCTATCTAGCTCAGAAGTGAAATTTCAATTTACAGTCTAAGTGTCATTAGTATTCTATTGAATTTCAGAACATGTTATATAGCCGGAAGTCTTAACCATATACGCATAGTAATGAGAAAAACCATGTCTATAGCACCAGAAGATCTTCAACACCTTGTCTTCACACGTTGAAGGTGAAAGAGCCGATAGCAGTAGATAAGCGAATGAGATGTCTCTCTTCTTAAATTAAAATGAAGTACTCAAAGTACAAAGATGAATAAATAAATGAATTGATTGATGAAGTATAATTATGTTAAATTAAAGGAAGATGGCATATCGGCATTATTTGCCACAAGGCTCATCATTGATGAGCATAGTTGACAGGTGAGAGTAAGGGAAAATCATTCAACAACAACATCACCAAAAAAAGACTTTCTCATTCTCTATTCTCTTTCCTCACCTCATTCTTATTCTTAGTCTCTCTCTCTCTCTCTCTTTCTCTCTCTCTCTCTATCCAACCAATTTTGTTACCAAATTAGGCAATTCTTCTCAAGATCTCCAAAAATATATATTATTTAAATATTTAAATTAGCATAGATGAATGAGTAGATAACCATGTTTCTAAAAAGAAATAAATAGAATTTTAAAGCTTTTGACTGTTAACTTGAAAGCTTTTTTGGCATATTAGTTCGCAAAGATGGCTTCATTCATTTGTCTCAAGGCTGTCGAATGACAAATGAAACGGGCATAATGTGTCTTTTCTATTTGTGAAATCTCGACCAGACAACTTTCTTCTGACTCTTTATCCATTCACAACTCAGTTTATTCAATTACTAACTCTCTATAGCCTATTACCCTCCCATTTCTCCTTTCTTCCCCTTTTTCTTCTTTAAAAATCATCTTTACATCATCATCCTCATCATCAACGTCATCATCGTCACCCTCTACGGGTGCAATCAAGCTTTTGCTCTTCCATGTCCTCCTGTCCATCTCATATTTCCTTCTTCGGATTATACTTTTATATCAATTATTATATAATATTCACCCTATTTGACGATGACGATTGTAACATTCACAGTGCTCAAGAAGATTTCATTAATCTCCTTGTCTTATTACATAACTGGCTGCTCGAATCCCCAAGTCAAGGCTCAAATCAAATGATTATGACGGAATGACAGAAACATAATTATTTTCAAAACAACAACGTGTTCGCCTTATTTTAATTCAAAAAAAGCAGCCAAAAATTAATTAAAAGGACTTGTATTACATAATGGTTGTTGTTGTAGCTGTCAATCATC